AGGGAAGACAGGGAAAGGAAGGGAAGGGAGGATGGGGAAGGAATGGGACGGAGGACAGGGAAGGGCGGAAAAAAAAGGGATGGGAATGGAGGACAGGGAAGGCAAGACAGGGAAGGGATGAGAAGGGTGGACAGGGAAGGGAGGATGGGGAAGGGGTGGGATGGAGGACAAGAAAGGGAGTACAGGGAAGGGATGGGAACGGAGGACAGGGAAGGCAAGACAGGGAAAGGATGGGAAGGGAGGAGAGGGAACGGATGGGAAGGGAGGACAGGAAAGGGGAGAAAGGGGAGAAAGGGAAGGGAAGGGAAGGAAGGACAGGGAAGGCAAGACAGGGAAGGGAAGACAGGGAAGGGAAGGGAGGACAGGGAAGGCAAGACAGGGAAGGGATGGGAAGGGAGGACAGGGAAGGGAGGACGGTGAAGGGATGGGACAAAGGACAGGGAAGGGAGGACAGGGAAGGGATGGGAATGGAGGACAGGGAAGGGAAGGGAGAACAGGGAAGGGAAGGGAGGATAGGAAAGGGGAGACAGAGAAGGGAGGGCAGTTAAGGGAGGACAGAAAAGGGATGGGAAGAGAGGGCAGGTAGGGATGGGAAGGGAGGACAGAGACGGGATGGGAAGAGAGGCCAGGGAAGGGAGAGGGAGTGAGGGAGGAAATTCTGAGCATCATATTTCATGTTACAACAAGAGGATGAGGGGCTTGAACAGAAAACCCCACATCATACCAGAAAAATCATGGTGTCTGGAGTTTACTTGGATTCATCATCTAAAATTATCAAGAAAATGTTTTTTTTTTAATAATGCCTTTAGTTTGGTTTATTAAAGTGACCAAGAACCCCTTCAAGCCATACCTTTATGACATTTCTTGTCCTCCAATTTTTGGAGGTCCCAGAGAACGGAACAGAACGTTGAGGTTCGTTCTATATCAGTGGCAAGAGCTTTTACTTAATGACATGCCAAATGGATGCATATTAACATCTGAAATCAAAGTCACTGGCAAAGGTTACATGTGCTGCTGATCTAGTGTCCTAAAGGCTCACACTTCTATTTCCACAGAATAAAAAATGTAGTATAGAAGCATTAGCAGGAAAAAGGTTTCAAGTTTTACTTTTATCTCATATTTAACCAGATTTGTGGTGGGATGAAAACTTGAAAGAGAGAGAGAAAGATAGAAATAGAAATAAGGCAGCCTTTCTTATTGTTGGACTGGGTCCATAAACTTGATTATTTAAAGCAAAACACAAGCTTAGAGAAATTATGTTTGGGCATTTATAAACATATTATAATATATTTTTAAATACATTGCCATATTAAACCAATATTATGGTCCATTTAATAAATATGCTATCTCTGGTGTAAGTTTCAAGAGATATCCTCTAAGAAAAGAGTTCCAGGGATTTCTATTCCTTTATGCCTCATCTCATAAGATAATGCAAATCCCTATATTTGTGTTAATGTAGGAGTTTTTCTTTTTTCTTTTTGAAGGCATTTCTAACACATGGTCTCAATTTAGTGGAATGATTCTTGATTTGAAAAGTAGAAGAAAAAAAATCTAAGCCCAACTCTCATCACTTGTAATTGGGAACTAATTGTGTCTAAGCAAAACTTTTATCATCTAAAAAATATGAATAATTCAACATTTTTCATAGTTTCAATGTATAAGCATGTCCCTCCGAAAGCTTATAAAATGAGATGGATGATAAATATTTTCTGTCCGATTCTATGTTGGAAGATGCCTGACGCTTTTTGTTGTTGTTGTTTTGTTCACCCACTGCACTCGAGAAAAAGTGAAGACACACCTTTCTTAGAGGAAAAATCTTATCACTCAGTATCTTAGCAATGTAAGGAGTAGAAATTCAAGATATAAGTGAAAAAATCAACAAAGGATTTCATGGTTTTCAGCAGAATAAATGAGAAAGGTGGAAGGAGAGAAACTATTTTATACTGTGAGACATGCAAAAGAAAGCCTGAACTTCATCCTAGAGATTGCTTCAAGAAGTATCACACTCAAAAAATTTATAAACAAAGATAAACAAAATACTTTATTTTACATAAACTTAAATAGACAATAAAATCATTAGGCAAATTCATATTTATGTTTTTCTCTTTTAAAATATAGGGTAATTACAGTTTATTTCCTTCCTGAAATGAATAAGAGCTAGAAAGTATGTAGATGGCAGAATAATTGGATTGGAAAGGGTTAATGGTGAAGAAACCTAGACCTGAAGAAGGAAAGGATGTCCCAAAGACTATCTGTGTGAAGTAATGAGTGAGTAAAGTATCGAGTCTTTTCAGGTAATAATATTTTCATCACCATTTTATCAAAGCAAATGCAAGACAATAACACATATTCAACTTGTCTCCTAGACTTGCAAAAAGGAACCCAGATGTGAGTAGGTTATTTGTACTGTTTAGAGTTGAATTTACTCAAACTATAACCTGCTAATCCAGGGTACTAGCACACAAGAAGCTTCATAACGCCAGAAAAAAAAAAATCACATAATGTGCTAATTTATTTATTTTTAAGTGCATGCCCACACATGACAAAATAACAGGCAATAATAGCAATAAATAGACTTATGCCTACAAAAATAGTACAATTTTCCAGATCAAGACTATGTTTTACTTTCCCCTCATTCTTCAGACTTCTAATTTACTTCTTCTACCACTATGTCCCTCTTGCCACATTTCAGCTGGTGACTAATTATGACACTGCAATGAGAAAATGTAAACAGTCAATAATTCCATATATTACCTCCATAAACACAATCTCCTGTATCTGTTCACATATACTATTGTTCATGCTATTAAACTGAGGAATGTCCTGGTTACTAGTGAAATTATCACCAAATATGGGCATTTGAAGATCTAAATCTTAACCTTAGACCTTACATGTGGTATCAATAGACCCTTTCTCTCCATTGAAACATTTACTTTAATTTATAAATACACGTAGCATATCCTGTATTAAAAAATTGAAACATCTCAGTCTCTACTAAGAAGTGCCTCATTTATCCATTTCATTTTCTTGACAAAGAATGTTCATAAGAAAAATCTCTACTTCTTGCCAGGTGCAGTGGCTCACATGTATAATCCCAGCACTGTGGGAGGCTGAGGCAGGAGGATTGCCTGAGCTCAGGAGATCAAGGCTTGTCTGAGCAAGAGTGAGACCCCCAAATCATGAAAAAAAATGAAAAACCCAGCTGGGCACCATGGCGAGCGCCTGTAATCTCAGTGGCTTCGGAGACTGAGGCAACAGGATGCCCACAGCCTGAATCTAAGTTTGCAGTGAGCTATGATGCCATTGCACTCTGTTAAGGGCATAGGGTAGAACTCTGTCTAGACAAAAAATAAATAAATAAAATAAATTAAGAAAGGAAAAATATCTACTTCTCATCTCCTTTCTTTTTATCATACTCTATAGGGATTTCATTCTAAAGTGATTCTTTGAAATGATTACCAAATCACTAGACTGGTAAATCCCATGGTCACTTACATCCTCTCTTTTGTCAGTTTCTTAGAAGCTTTCCAAACATTTGATGCCCCATTCTGAACCTAGTTTAGAAAGAGAACGATCTCCTGATTTCTCGTCTATGTCACTTGATACATTTTATGTATTGCTGCAAAATAAATCACTCCAAAACACAGTGGCTTAAAATAACTACAGTATTTTTGCTGTTCATGAGTGCCTGATTTTGACAGGGCTTATCAGGAATATCTCATCTCTGCTCAGTGTTACCTTCTAAGCTCACATGACAGGCTGCAGTTGCTGGGTGGCTGACTCTCACAGAATGGCCTCACTCACATTGCTGAGTGCCAGAATGATGGGATCTTGAAGGATGTATCTCTCTTCTTATGTTTTTTTTTTTTTTTT